AAATAGGGGTAACCCCAGGGTCTAACAGTAGTGTTGTTGGGAAAACAAATTCATGTCATCGGGGCGGTGAATGCCGTATCTCGAACGGGCGTTTTCTCTCAAACAGTGTTACTTTATTGTTTTCCATCAATCACTCTGTGGGCGGTCGAAGAAGCATCCCTAGGTGGTAGAAAAAGGTGTAGGGGGGTGAGATGCCTACGGTACCCCAGCGTCGGAGAGGTCTAGCTATGTAGCACTGATGTTGTACAAGGCTTGAAGTCAGTCGGGTGTAGGCACCGACGACAAAAGTTTGGTACGCTCAAGCACCCAATACGCTGAGACCCTGCAACGCGCGCATCGCCGCTTACGTATCCACCCGATTTTAACGGCCGCCGAAACTATGTTAACTTGCTGGATACAGGGACGCAACGCTGATCGGAGCTCTAACGGACTTCGACGATGAGCACCACGACAAAATATACAGCAAGAACTAATCATTTTGCCACCTACGGTAGGGCTGGGAGCAGAGACTTAAAAGCCTTCTGATCTTCGCGCGCTGGAAACAAGCATCCACATGGAGTTGAGCATGTTCTATCGCGTGTGGTGGCCAACCTCCCGATCATGCTGCTCGACGGGAGGAACATGCAAGTACTGCACTTGCTGTATGATAGGTGGATCTGCCACGGGGGGGGGTTCGCAACGGGTGAGACCAAGCTACCGACCAAAAAAACCTGATGCAACAAGACAGCAGTAGTACCACGCTGTGCTTCTAAGCACAACAGCTGTGCACTGGAGGCAGAGCTACTGCAGCATTCTACACTGATCGTCGAAGAGCATGAGATGTGCTCAGTGCATGAGATGTGCTCATGCCACTTGCCTCCGACAGCAGGCAACCGAAGGGTGCCGGCCTGACTTGTAATATAGACTAGACCAACAGGCACCGATAAATAGTGCAATTTATAACGCTCTCCACAGAGTGCATCCCTCGTACGGCTTCCTTGCCTTCTTCCACCTCCCCCGTCGCTCCCTGCCTTTCCTGTGCCGCTGTTCGTCTGTCCGTCCTCAGCTAGAACCGCTGCTAGCTTCGCATCCTCATGTTCAACTCAACTCATGATTGAGGATACCCCCAGCCCACCAGTACGTTGCCCAGCTCCGTGGCCAAGTCTGCGTAGCCACAAGCCAGTAGAACCCCTACCCCTTACTCACCGATGGTGAGCGCCGCGTTGTCGTACCTCGTCCAGACTTGCGTGAGGCTACTTAGCGGTATGTTTAGCTGCAAGGCCTCGTACGGCAGGCGTTCGCCGCATGAGCTTTTGTTCCACCAGAAACTGGCAGCGCTCGTTGTTATCGCCACCTGCACTGCCTCTTGAAATATTTCCCGCCATACCCCAGATGACGTTAGGCAGTAGCTGAGATGCTGAACGGGGTTGGTTGCGAGTGATGCTATATTGATGCAGCACAGAGCAGCAACACTGCTGTGTCACTGGACACGATCAAGAGTCAAGTGCCCACCGGCCAACGGCCCACGGAACTGTCACCTCTGGTCCGTGGCACACAGACAGCAGTATCACTCCAGCACGTACCCGCATACACTACAATGTACATGCAACTGGCGTACCCCCCGTTGTTTTTGGCCGCATTCGCGAGCCCACCTCCTGTCGTGGCTTTCAGTTCCAGGCACCCGTGTTGTGAAGAGATCGGCCACGCCTGTCCACCCCGCCACCCGTAGCAAACATGATCGCTAATCTCGCTCGTGCCGCAGCCCGTCCCTCGGCGGGACTGGTCCGAAGAGCTGCAGCCGCGACGACCAAATGCTCCTCCCCCTCCGTTCCTGCTGCTGTCTCTTCCGCCCCCAAGAACGTGCGATGCGCAAGCAGCCTGAGCGAGGTGTTGAAGGCGGAAATCGAAGAGGAGCGTCTCGTTGCGTTTGACGAAGGTGTGTGAGGTGTGCAGCAGCGAGCAGGTTAATTTCGAGTGGGGCTAGCACTTCGCAGAGGTGGTGGAGATATGACCTTCGGTGTGTTTGGATTCAATCCAAAATCTTCTTGGGTGGTTCGGAGGGGTCCGATCTGAGGGTTGGTAGCAGCGGAGTGACGGCAGTTGCGTACTCCAAAAACCACAGCAGTACTGCTGTAGTCGCTGTTCACCGATATATCAGCTGGTTTTGACCATGTTACACGACACGACATTCTCGCTCTCTTCTCGTAAGACTGGTACTCAAATCGACGAGTTTGGCAAGGGCAGACAGTCTCAACACTGCATCGTGCTTACTGATGTGTACCTTTCTTGCTACTCTATTCACCCGATCTTGAGCTCTGATTTGTCCCCCACATCCACATCAACACATCTTCCTTCGTTCCGTTATCTACGTTCAAATCTTTGTTGCTTGTGTGTGTCCCTTTTGACGTCTGGCCTACGGTGCGCCACTAGTGACTTGCCACGTGCGCACTCCTGCGGCAACGTTACTCCCTCTCTCTCTCTCTCTGCCAAGCCTACATGTATACAACTCTCCAACAGCGATCATCCAGGCACCGATCATCCGCCTTTGACATACATAGGAGGGTGAGCAGTGTGCAGTGCAGCCCCCACTCCCCGTTCGCTCCTCTCTCTTGTCATACACCGCGCGCTCGTTTTGCAATCGCCGTTTTGTTCAACGACATGCCCGCGCAACGAACATTGCTATTATACCCAGATGTGGCGTCGATGGCGAAAGAACTGGGCAAGAAGGGAATCACCGTGAAGGACGAGCCGGGGCTGTCGTTGGTACGGCTCTTCGGGCCTGGCGTTGGCGATGAGAAGGTGAACCCCACGGCGGCGACGGCGAAGAATCGGTAGCCTTCGCCGGGAAGTTTTAGCTTGGTTGCAGTAGGTAGTACGGGAAACGAAACCCCGCTCTCTTTCTCAGGTAAATATAACTCCATGTGGAAGGCGGTCCTCCCTTACTTTTTGCGCCGCAACTACTGCTGTGGTTGCTTACGATATCCCCGTCTCCTTTGGCCTCTCTCTGTGCGTCGTGTGTTTGGGGGAGGCATGGGGTACATATCGCCATGTACGGCATCACGGCCTGGATGTAAATTGAAACATGCCTTACATACAAGGTTGCACAGCAGTTGATGTATTCGTCGTGCAAGTTGCTGGTACCTGGCTGCAGCTAGCGCCTGAACCATCCCAGCAGTGAGTCGGTTTGTTGTCACAGCAGCGCTGCCGTTTGTAAAATGTGACCGACGCACAAAACGAAATTGCGCGAGTCGATGTTGTCTCCTCTCTACACTAACACCGCTTAGAACGGTGCGGTCGGATCGACATGCACCAACACCAGTACGGCCAACGGCGAGGCTGTTTGGTTTACCAACACTGATGGTGACTTTGTTCTCTTGACAAGTTGTTCAATGAGTCTCTTTGTTTACCTGGTGGTGCGGAGGCATAACCCCCAACGCCTGCTGTTTCCGGTCGTCGTGTTTGTCGGCGCGCACGGGTGTTGTACGTTTTTGAAGGTAACGGTGGAGTTCGACTGCGACGTGGAGGGGGACGGCGATGACGGTTGGGAGGACGACCTGGAGGACAACTCGGACTTGAGTTTGGAGTCGGGGGAGCAGCAGCAAGGGAAGGGCGGGGAGGGACAAGAAGACGAGGGCGACGAAGATGACATGGTCGGCCCAGGCAAGACCCCGGTCTCGTCGTGATTGGTGCCGTCCGAAAGTGTGTATTGGTGCATGATGAGAGCCTCCGGCAATGGGTCATGCCGTCTATGTATGGTGTTTCATGGAGGGTGGCTGGTTCGATTGATTTGTTCCGTGGTCTCAATCGACTCAACAAACTGCTGCGTAGATACACATGAATACGAGCACCGTGAGAGAAAGAAGTGCCCACTCTGGTGTGCACATTGGTGAGGGTATCGTATCGTACCTCGCCGTCGACTTTTGTTTTCGCCCTCCGCGGTCGATGTGGTTGCCGCTAGCCGCTAAAGGCGGAAGAGGAACGGTCTGAAGGGACGTGGAAGTGTAGCTTTTCATACGTCTCAAGTGTCGAGTGGAAAAGACACACAAAAAATCGCTCAAACCCCATAAATATCTCCAGAGGGAGGCGAAGTCAGCGGTGGAACGAATACTCTTTAGCACACCGTTGAGTTCCCCCCCCCCNCCCCCCCCGGTCTTTTGCGACAGGCTACCGCTTCACGGCAACGATCACCAAGGGGGCTAAGAAGATGGTTGTCGCGGGGTCGGCCACCGATAAGATCGCCGTGCACGGCATCCGCATCAACCCGGCAAACGTGGAGTGGGACTCTTCCCTCTACCGAGGTCCTGATTTCAACGAGCTCGATCCGGATTTGCAGGTGGGCGGCGGTTAGGGGAGGGGGG